AAATATCTTGCATTAGAAGAAGAATTCTGGAGACAAAAAGCAGGCATGTTATGGTTCAAAGATTGCGATAGAAACACGAAATTCTTCCATGCTCAAGTTAATGGGAGAAGGAAGAGACTGAAATTATCAAGGATCCAGAATAGCCTTGGTAACTGGATCGAAGAAGATCACTTAATAGCAAAAGAAGCAATAAAGTTCTACAAGGATCAATTTACTAAGACTGCAGTTCCAAATGATTTTGACATTCTAAATCATGTACCTTCAATGGTAGATAGTGATCAACACGAAAGATTGATGGCCTTGCCTTCCAATGAAGAAGTGAAGAGAGCAATTATGGGGTTGAATGGAGACTCAGCTGGTAGACCGGATGGATTCACTGGAGCCTTTTACCAAACATACTGGGAAATTATTGAAGAAGATGTAGTCCGCGTGGTCAAGGCTTTCTTTTGCAGTCAGCAGCTGCCAAAGAGTGTGACGCACACAAACATGGTTTTATTACCAAAGAAAAAAGAAATTACGACCTTTGCGGACATGAGACCAATCAGTCTTAGCAACTTTGTTAACAAGATTTTCTCTAGGGTTATTCATGAGAGATTGGTTGAATTATTGCCAAACATAATCTCGGAGGAACAGGCAGGTTGTGAAGGGCAGAAGCATAGTTGAGAGCGTACTTTTAACTCAAGAAATCATTACGGATATCAGGTTGAGAACAAAAGAAGGTCCAAACGTTGTAATTAAGCTTGATATGACAAAAGCTTACGACAGGCTATCATGGCTATTCCTGACCAAAATACTAAGGAAAATAGGATTTCCAGAAGCTTTTATTGGCTTGATCTTTGATTTGATTGGGAACAATTGGTACTCTGTTCTTATAAATGGTCAGCCTAATGGTTTCTTCAAATCATTGAGGGGAGTTAAACAGGGTGACCCTTTGTCACCAACTCTATTCATTCAAACAGCAGAAGCACTTTCTCGGGAATTGAATTCACTACACACTAACCTGTATTTTTGTGGTTTTGCAATGCCAAAATGGAGCCCAAAAATAAATCATCTATCATACGTTGATGATACAATCATTTTCTGCTCATCTGATAAAACTTTGTTGAGACTTGTCATGGAGGTTTTGCAAGCTTATGAATCATCATCTGGTCAACTGGTGAGCAAAGCCAAATCATCCATATACATGCATCATTTAATGTATAATGAGGTGTTTAACAATGTGGAAAGGATTATAGGTATACGAAGACAATGTTTCCCTATGACCTATCTTGGTTGTCCTATTTTTTATGCAAGAAGAAGGGGAGACTATTACCAGGGATTAACCACCAAGGTTATGGACAAACTTCAGTCATGGAAAGGTAAACTCCTATCGGTAGGAGGCAGAGCTATTTTAATCGCAAATGTCCTGCAGAGTATCCCAATTCATATGTTGTCAGCAGTCAATCCTCCAAGTTATGTGATCAACAAATTACATAGCATTTTTGCCAAGTTTTTCTGGAGCACCAATGTGGGAGGGAGCACTAGACATTGGGCGTCTTGGACTAACCTTTGTATGCCTTTTGAGGAGGGAGGCATAGGCTTCAGGTCCCTACATGACGTATCCAAGGCACTGTTCTGCAAATTGTGGTGGACTTTCAGGACTAAGCCCACTCTATGGAGTGCATTTATTAGTCAAAAGTACTACAAGAAAATAAATGCAGTAATTGTACCTTGGAAGCGTGGATCCCACATGTGGAGAAAATACTAGAATGTAGGGACTTGATTGAGCATCAAATCTACTGGAAACTGAGAATGGGATCGGCTCAATTCTGGTTCAACAATTGGACAGAGATGGGAGCCTTATATTTTCAAGTGCCTGCAGAGTTTGGTATCGATAAGGATATTCATAATGTCAATGATCTTGTTGAAAATGGCATGTGGAATGTGGATAAAATGTTTGAGAGCCTACCTGAAGATTTGGCACACCACATTGTGCAGAATATTGGACCACCAACTGAAAGTTCACAGTTAGATACTCCTTTCTGGATGCTTGAAACAAGGGAACATTTTACAGTAAAGTCTGCATGGGATTACCTGCGGAGGAGAGCCAACCCAAGATTAGCTTACAAGATGATATGGGTAAAAGGTTTACCTTTCAAGATATCCTTCTTCCTGTGGAAGGTGTGGAAAGCCAAACTGCCACTTGATGATTTCTTGCGTAAGCTAGGATACTCCATGCCATCTATATGTTGGTGGTGTTCTGATCCTATGGAGGAGTCATTACTACATTTGTTCTTCAGATCCAATGCAGCTACAAGTGTTTGGAGTTACTTCCTGAGGAGGCAGGAATTGCATTAGAAGGGTTGTCATTACATCAAGCAATTACAAAGTGTTGGACAACAGCAGTTGTACCTAGATTGAAGCCAGTATTACAGGCTTTACCTGCATGCATCGTATGGGAACTGTGGAAGAGAAGAAAAAGTTTGAAATATGGAGAAGTACTGTTAGTGAGCAGAGTTATTTTCCAGGTGTCATCTACTTTGCAATATCTGGTCCAACTGAAAAAGCCTGGACTACATGTGCCTCACAAGTGGCTGGACTTACTGACAATGATGGAGCACTACATACCACGACTGAAATATGATAAAGTTTTATGGGAATATCCTTCAAGAGGATGGATCAAAGTGAATACGGATGGAGCATGTAGAGGGAACCCAGGGAGGAGTTCAATTGGTTTCTGCATAAAGGATGAGGCAGGTGATTTGATATATGCAGAAGGAAGGGAGATTTTTGAAGGAACCAACAATGAATCAGAAGCGGTAGCTATTGTGGAGGCATTGAAGATGTGCAAAAATCTTAATTATTACCAAATATGGCTGCAGACAGACTCTATGCTATTAAAGAACATTACAGAAGAATCATGGAAGCCTCCTTGGTATATTACTGAACATGTAGAGGAGATTTTAAGGATGAAGGAACAAAGTACCATCAAGGTCACACACATATTCAGAGAAGGGAATACATTAGCAGACCATCTTGCCAATTATGCTCTAGATGAAGGAAATACTGAATGCCATGGTTTCTGGGAGCTGGACTCAAAAGGAAGGAGGATTATTAACGAAGATAAGATGAAATGTCCTTACATAAGAGTGAAGTTTGCAAGGAACTAGTAGGAAAAGAGGATTCAGTTTGTTATCAGACTCGAATCATTATTGAGGAGAGTTTTGATAGCAATTTTTACGCTAACTTTGTTTATTTTTTTGAAGTGGAAGTGGAAGAGATAAAGGAGTTGATGCACAGGACCAATGCAATGGTGTCGCATACCATCAAATAAAGAGTTATCTATGTACTACATTGTACTACAGTCCCTACGAAATGGCATGGCACTAATTTGAATCGAGGACCAGGCATGCTCGCAAGAAAAGGTGGACAACTACTTGTAATTTCGAAATACAACATGCTATCACAGGACACAAAGATGGTGATCGATTGGTCAAGGAATTCCAAAAGCTTTCCAATGAACGAGCAAAACAAGATTGGTTAAAGGTTTTGGAATTCCAATCAGTGTGCTGTAGGAACAACGAAATCGAGGCAAAGCTAGAAATAAAAAATGGCCATCACAGTTTTGTCTTTCTTTAATCCACGCCTGTAAAGTGGAACCTTATGAATGCATGCTACATAGTACTACAGAGAGCCTCGAAGTAACGAGAGATCTAGAGCAAAACAACATTTCAAATGCACTAATAGGGAATCGAAAAAGGCTATACAAGGACCAACATAGGACAACACTCAAATGCTTAAACAATGAGCACATTGAGAGAACATCGAGGAGGAGCACAAGGATAGACAGCTCCACTTTATCTTGGGACTTTGAATCAATGGACTTTATGTCACGCATGCATAGACGTAATGGACAACATTGGAAATGCAAAGGCAAGCGTGGGGGCAACTGGGTGAACTTTCTGGGCAAAATGCATACACGCATGGGGGACATAACCTTTGGGAATTTAAAAAGAGGAGCCTTTGAGATTTCAAAAGAATGGGTAAAATCATTGCAATTGCATTACGCAGCTCAAGGAGGTTCTTTGGACTGGGTACGGGAGACTCCTGCCCAGTTTTGACCAAAGTATCACGTAACAGGCTGGTTTTGGATACAATTTCTGGGTAATGTAGCTGTCGTTTGGAACAAATGCCAAATACAATTACACACTACTATAACTCAGGGATCAAATCATGCAAAAGGTTCAAGAAAATACACAGAGTTCAGTCGTGAAACGGGGCTTAAATATACCATTATAGAGCAGGTTTGGGATTTGCAAGTCACAAGGCATAACTGGCTACACTTAGCAGAAAATCTTGAAAGAAGATGGGGATACATACAGGCACAACAACTAAGCAGGGCATCCAAGGAAGGAACTCACAAAAGGAAGTCAATGGTGATCAGGCAGAAAGCAAGCAAAAGGGAGAACAAAAATGAAACAAGAGAGCAGTTGTTGACAAGAATGGAGCACTGGATCATATGTTGGCATGACATGGAACAAGCTAGAGTTTTTGTGGATAGATTGATTCATATTCAGAAACTACCACATCATTGGAAGGACATTTTCCTTCATATCATGGAGACGGTATTGCCAATGCATGAAGACAAGGGATTTCGTAGGCATCTTTTGCTTAGTATAGTTAGTATTCATATTGTGATATCATTGTTGAGCCCATTACTCAATATTGATAGTAGGTCGTATTTAGATTTCAAATTTGATGCCTTTCATTTCGTTAGACCTCCGGACATAATAATTTGTTTCTTTTTTTTTTGTTTTTCATATATATAAAACCTAGCCTTAAGCGCTTGCCTAGCGGATTGCCAAAAAAAAATATAATTTTAGGTTGTTTTTAAAGTTTTGTGAGTGAAAATTTTGAAAAATAACTTTTTGGAGTTTTGAAAAAAAGTGAAACAATTCTTACGTCCAAACGGGCTCATAATCTAGTGTTTTCAAACAAGTCATTTCATTGTTCAGATATAATTAATACTCCCTTCTCTCAATTTAGATGACACATTTTTCTTATTAGTCTATTTCAAAAAGAATGACACATTTTTATAATTGGAAATAATTCTACTTTAAATTTTTTATTTTACCCTTTGTAGGCAATAAAATTGAGTCAGGAAAATAAAATCAAGATCAAAAAATATTGCACCAATCGTAATATTAGATTTCAAGTAATATGATTGCACAATCTCTATGAATCCTCTGATTCTTCTTTCCAATAGTAAATAAATTCAAGGGCCTTCGAGCTCAATCTTGAATATGTAGTTGTTGGCACGAACGATGATCTTGAATTCAACTAGCAGGAACTTTGATTTGAACTCGTATTTCCTGGACCTTGATTTGTTACTTGTTCTTGAACTTGAGCTTGATTGCTTGAACTTGAACTTAATTTTTTCTTCGTTCTTGAGCTTGAACTTGATTTGTTCTTCGTTGTTGATCTTGAACTTTAACTTGATTGCTTGAAGCTTGAAACTTGGAGAAATTTGTAGCGTTGGATCCATGAGCTCTTCTTGCTTCTTGTTATAACTTCTGGTATCTTTTTTGAGTTATGAAGAAAATCCTAACATGTCATGATAACACCTAACGTGCTATGAGGCAAGCCGACATTGATAAAATATTCCTAATATTTAACAGAAAATGAATCAATGTAGTTTTAAATAACAAAAAAAATTATAAACGGGGTAGAAACCCAAAATATGACGCGGAAACTCCCAAACATCAGGGTGTCACTGAGTACATGAGTATCTAAACACCACAAGTCTGGAAAATACTGTCTAACATAGTCCAAAACTGTGACGACCCGGCCGGTCTTCTTAAGAATTAACACCCCGATTTCCTATTAACTGCTTTCCTCGAGTCTATTTCTGCTATTTTGATTTGCCAGGATGTTCGGTTTTAAGTTTCGGAGAGTTTTGGGACACTTAGTCCCTAAATGAGAGCTTCATTGTCGGAAAGTTGATTGTAGTCGGAACAGTGTGAAGAAGGCCTCGGAATGAAAATTCGAAGGTTCCATTAGCTCAGTTGGGTGATTTCGGGGTTAGGAGCATGTTCGGATTGTATTTTGGAGGTCCGTAGCTAATTTAGGCTTGAAATGCCAAAAGTTGAATTTTGGAAGTTTCCGTTTGGATAGTGAGATTTTGATCCGAGGATCGGAATGGAATTCCAAGAGTTGCAGTAGTTCTGTTATGTCATTTGGGATGTGTGTGCAAAATTTCAGGTCATTCGGACGAGGTTTGGCAGACCTTTTGATCGAAAGTGTGTTTTTATAGTTTTTGAAAATTTTAAGCTTGAATCAGATGAAAAGTAGGCGTTTTGATGTTGTTTTGACCGTTCCGAAGGTTGGAACAAGTTTGAATGATTTTTTAGGATTAGTTTGTAGGTTTGGTTGAGGTCCCGGGGGCCTCGGGTGTGTTTCGTATGCTCAACGGGTCATTTTTGGAACTTAGGAAATTGAAGAAAATGTTGCAGCAGTCAGTTTCCTTCATTGCGTTCGCGAGTGGGTTCTCGCATTCGCAAAGAGGAACTGGGACTGGGGGGAAAGTTTTACCTTCACATTCGCGAGAGGGCCTCCACGTTTGCGAAGAGGCTGGATGGTTGTGTTATGCGTTCACGATTGGGCTTCGTGTTCGCGGAAGAGGAATTGGCCCAGTGGAGTTTGGTGCATCGCGTTCGCGTGGTGCCCGTCGCATTCGCGAAGGTTCGTCTGTGCAAAGCATCATGTTTGCGGAGTAGGGGACGCGTTCGCGAAGAAGGAAAAATTGTCAAAGTTATTTTGTGCTTCGCGAACGCGAGGCTTTGACCACGTTCGCGAAGAAGGAATTTTCTGGGCAGATATAAGATTTCAAAATCGAGGGTTTAGCCATTTTTATCAAAACTTAAGCTTGGGAGCTCGGATTAGAGCGAGATTTTGAGGGATTTTCAGAGGTATCGGTTGGGAAAGGATTCTTAACTCAATTTTGCTTGTAACCCATTAACCTAAACATGTATTCATCCTTTAATTTCGGAATTTGTATGAAAATTGGGGAAATGTTCTTATGCCAAGAAATTGAGTTTTGATTGGGGATTTGACATTGGATTTGGATAATTTTGGTATGGGTAGACTCGTAAGAGTTTGAGGATTCTGAAACTATAAATTTTACCCGATTCCGAGACGTGATCCCGAGGGTCGTTTTGGTCATTTTACATAATGTCGTGCATTAGCTTAGACTTTAATTGTAGAATCAGTTACTTGAAGTTTTATTTACATTATGAAATTGAATTGAATAGATTTGGGCCATTTGGAGTCGAGTACTCGTGGCAAGAGCGTGGTTTCGGATTGATTTTGAGCTGGTTCGAGGTAAGTGGCTTGTCTAACCTTGTATGAGGGACCTTCCCCATTAGGATATGATATATTTTGTAATTGACATGCCTTGTATATGAAGTGACGAGTGCATACTTGAGCTAATTGTTGAAAATCCATTTTTTTTCTTTAAGTATTTCAATTGAGTTCCTTTTTCCTACTTTATTCTACTTGCGAATTTGGACTGTTGTAGTTTACAAAAGCATTTTTAGTTGACTTAATTGCCTATTTGCTTAAACTTCTTTAATTGCATTACGTGAAGCATGTTAGTCTAGAATTAACTGTTTACTTGGTACGAATTTTGCATTTAATTGAGTATTCTTGTGTTGCTTCTATGTGTTTTTAATTTGGGACTATTGGACGACATCCCGGGAGATCCCCTGTACGTATTTATGATCTAGACTAAGGTGCGGGATAACAAGAGATCCTTGGCATGTATATTGGGGATACCAAGAGATTTTCGGGATACTAAGAGATCCCTAGCATATATTGAGGATACCAAGAGATCCTCGGGATACCGAGAGATCCCTAGCATATATTGAGGATACCAAGAGATCCTCGGGATATCAAGAGATCCCTGGCATATATTGAGGGTACAAAGAGATCCTCGGGATACTGAGAGATCCTTGATTACTTTCCTTGTGGTTGCCTTCATCTCTGTTTCCGCTATTGTACTCTTATTATCCTGTGTAAATTCTTACTGTAGATTCTCAATTGTACTGCTTATCTTATCATGTCATCTTTATATTTATTTAATCTCGGTAGGGCCCTGACCTCCCTCGTCACT